CGGTGCTGGGAGGAGCGCGGTGGGATCCGGAGTGAGGCCTAGGGCTTTGACTCCGCTCAGGCCGCGGAGGAGCGTGGATGGAGTCACTCGGCGCCTCGGTCTCATCTCTGCCATGGGGGTCGTAATTGCCGCCCCACTGGTTGCTGTGACCGTCCCCTCATTTTTTCTGTTCGGAGCAATCAGTCAGCAAATACTTCCCAAGCTCCTGTTAGGTGCCAGGCACTGTACTGAGCAAACGGGCCCAGAATACACAATCACTCCTTACCCACAACCCACCGCTCTGGAGCCAGGTCGTGTCATCCGCGCCCTCCCAGCGCTGGGGTCCTAAGTAATTGATTGGCGTCCCCCCCCCCCCAGCCGCCCCCCTTCCCTTTGGCAACCAAATAACAGCTCTGAGTCAGCAAGAGAGTTCAGTTCCGAGACCCTCGAGTGCACAAGGGGCCTGTAAACATCCCTGTCCCTGCTCTCACCCTGTGCTCGGGAGGGTGTACTATTTTTTTTTTAATGAAGGTTCTAGTTTTATATTTTATTGATTTTTTATAGAGAGGAAGGGAGAGCGATAGTTAGAAACATCCATCAGCTGCCTCTTGCACACCCCCTACTGGGGATGTGCCCGCAACCAAGATGCGTGCCCTTGATGGGAATCGAACCTGGGACCCTTGAGTCCGCAGGCAGATGCTCTATCCACTGAGCCAAACCGGTTAGGTCAGGAGGGTACACTATTTTGACTACGTTTTCTTGGGGAGATGTGGGGGAGAGCTACATGACAAATCACAGAATAGACTTCCTAACAATCTTAAACAGATTTTTCACACCCGTTCTCTAGCAGCTGCCGCCTCTCTCCGCAGGTCTCCAAACCATGCTCTGCTTTTGTGTAAACTCCTCCTTCCCCCCTTCCTAGCTGTCTCCCTGAGTTTTCCTTTGCCTTTATGCTTGAGGACCTTTTATTCCCTATCAACCGCTCCTAAACGCTTCTCCACTCCATCATCCAAGCACAGGCAGCTTCAGGAGGAGTTGCCTTCTTTATTTTTTTTTCTCTCTCTCACTAGTACAGTTTACATTCAGTATTATTTTGTATTAGTTTCAGGTGTACCGCATAGTGGTTAGATAATCATATACTTTACACCGTGTTCTCTCCCTCCACCCCCATGTTTCCAGTGCCCACCTGGCACCATTCGTAGTTATTACAATGTTATTGACTATATTCACTACACTGTACTTTACATCCCCAGATCTTCCTTCTTTAAATTTGGGGAGATTGGAAAAACTTAAAGTTTCAGTTTGTCCTCACTTACAGTAAGCTGTCTTCATCCATGCATGCATTTATTCACTCCTCCATCATTCAACAGTCATTTCCCAAGTGTCTTCTTTGTGGGCCAAGTGCTGTAACTGCTGCAGTGAGTAAGAAGGGGTTGTTTCAGATGGGAAATGTACTCTGCTTTTGTAATTGCATTCCCACATTGGTGAGAGGAGTGTAAATTTGAGCAACTCTCTAATTATTTAGTGCCAGAGGCTCATAAACAGACACCATGTACTATGCCCGTGCTGTTCTGTCAGACTGTAAGCAGGGGACTAACTGTACCCATTTTTTAACCTCCCACCGCACCCCGCAACTACTCACAAGATGCATTTAACAATAGCGTACGTTTTAGATGCCCACTGGACTGTGAGCTTCTGGAATGTCATGACTTGGTCTAATTTGTATTTGTACTGCCTTGCGTAGGACCAGGCACAAAAAGAAACTGGAATTTCTTTCTTCTTCTTCTTTTTTTTTTTTTTAATGAATTAAGACAACAGTGAAGTGCTCAACTACAAATTGCTGCAGACCCTAGGTGGAAAGGATTTCACAAAAGGAAAAGAGTTGGTGGTGAATAGAAGTAGAAGGCTTCATTGAGTGGTGGGGTTTAGATCTAAAAAAAACCCCAGAATACTCAGCTCATCCGAATAATAACACATCTCTGGATAGTGGGCATGAATATGTCTACAGTCTTTTTTTAATCTTCCCCCAAGAATATGTTTAGAGAGAGGAAGGGAGAGAAAGAAAGAGATTCCTGACTGAGAATTGAACCTGCAACCTTTTGGTGTACAGGACGATGCTCCGACCAACTGAGCCACCTGCCAGGGCTGTTAACAGTCTTTTAAAGAGCACTTTGGCAATAAATATCAATATCAATAAATATAAAAAATGTGACATCCAGTTTCAGTCCAAAGAAATAATTAGATATGCAGACAAAGGTGGTGTAGGGGAGGGAAAAACTTTTTCCTTTACAATCTAGCTAGGTTCAATGGTGGAGGCCCTACAAATTAAACTGACAGAAAACAGATTAATGGGAGGAAAAGGTTTATTTTATATGCACATGGTGGTGGGGGGTGTTGCTAACAGAAGTGAAGTGAGGATTCCAAAGAAGACAGTAGGCCTGAGAGCTTATACACCTATTTTAACAGAGTGATAAATTATGGAGATGGACAAGACAGAGGGGGTTTGAGCGACAAGGGGCAGTACATTGTGGGAAAATAATTATATGGGGGAAATAAGGATTGCTGTAGTAAGATTTGTTTGCACAGACTCATCTTGCCATTGGCTCCCCATCTCCTGGTACCAAAATGGCACAATTTCTCACGGAAAATTTATGTCCTGCTTTTCAGTAGGAAGGAGGAGGACAGCGAGCCCTTTGTGTGTCCGCTGATTCTCAGCATAACTACCGTATTGTACCGTAGTGTACCCGGCGTATAAGACGATTTTTTGGCCCTGAAAAATATGCCTCCAGGTGGGGGGTCGTCTTATACGCCAGGTACACTTCAGATAGACTGCCCATAGTGCTTGCCCCGTGCCATAGTGGCCTCCCGATGCCCGCCCACTTCATTCCACATACCGTTCAGGCATCAGCAGCGCTGCTGGGTGTATGCTGCTGTTATGC